TTTCAAAGCATTTTCTTTCTTCTTGAACTACTTGATATCAGCTCCCCTTTATCCCATTCCTCCCTGACCCTACCCCCTAGGAACCTGTATATGTATAATTTATTTTTATAAATAAATATATATATATATATATTTGCCATATCTTACACCATCCAAAATGTCCATTCACATACATTTCTGTTGTTTACTCACCTCATGTGGGGTTATCCAGTCATCAGTGCTATCAGCTCCCCTCCTCCCCCTCCCTCCCCCTCTCTCTTCCCGTACCCTGAGGGACCCATTACTCCTGTTACTGTTTCTGAAGGGTTATCTATCTTGGTTTCATGTATCGAATGATCTTAATTATACAAATGAACATATACAAGTCTAACATGATTAATGAGGTGAAATAGATAAGAGCCATAATAGTTAGGGAAGGAAATATTAAAGAACCAGAAGATATTTATGTGTTTCTTCAGTGATATGCTGCTCCCTGGATTTATCATCCCTTCCGTGTGGCCCTTCTGAGAGGGACTGTCCAACTATCTTACAGGAGGTGGGTTTTGGGTCTCCACTACATCCACGCTCCTTCACCTCGATTCGGTTGCTTGTTTTTGAACTTTGGATACCTCTTCTTGTCAATACGTCATGACCACACAGGCTGGTGTGCTTCTTCCACGTGGGCTTTGTTGCTTCCCTGCTAGATAGACACTTATTTAACTACAAGCCTTTAAGATCCCAGATGCTAAATCTTTTAATAACCAGGCATCATTAGTTTCTTCACCACATTTGCTTTTGTACCCATTTTGTCTTCAGCAATCATGTTGGGAAGGTGAGTATCATACATTGCCACATTGTTAGAACAAACCGTTCTTGGACTGAGGTAAGATTTAAGTAAAGGCCCAAAGTCTATCTGCTTTCTTATTGTATTTACATATATATGCATAAACAAACACACCTATGCTTATATATTTACATATCTATATATATACCTATTTTTTCCTTTCTTATTTCCTCTTTGTCTTTCCTCCTGCCACACTATCATGTTTACCAATCATTCACCTCTCAATAATACCTCTCAGATACAATTCAATTGATTGAATACAAGCAGAAAAGCTGCACCCTCCTTGCCATCAATTCTGGAACCCTACTATTCCACTGTCCCCATCCTTATTGTCTCACCATTCACCATGACCACCCCCACCTCCTCCCCTCCTGTGCCCCTCAGGAACCATTGTCCTGACTCTGTCTCCATAGGATCACATATTCTGCCTATCTTGTATAGATAAACAACAATAACCAAAAAAGAAAGACCGTACAACTAGTCCCAAATCTGGCCGGTCCCAATCCCAGCGATGTCAAGCCCCTCCCCAGAAGAATGCACTACAGAGGACAGCACTGAAGATACAGCAGGGGAGAGGGGCAGGTCTGCCCAGATCACACAGGAGCAAACTAAGAGGGAAGAGAGAGAGAGAGAGAACCAAGCCCAAGGATGACATTCCTACTCAGAGCAGCCTATGCACAGAAAGAACCATAGGGCAGACCCCACCATGAGACACAGCATCCCTCACTGACCCACAGCGCTACGGGGAATAGTACTGGAGACAGTGCGAGAATTGTGCCTGGTTTGACACACACACCACAACACCACACACCCC